ATTTCTAGAATGGTGTCAAAAGAAATTATTTCTACAATGTTATGTGCAATAACTTGGTATGTTCTTCATTATTTTTTCAGAAAATTATGGAGAGAATATTGATGAACTAATATCTTTTTTTTGCTGAGTGTGATGAACTAATATCTCTCATGTCTTTATTATAAAGAACAATAATTTTCTACTCAACCAAGTTATTCAATCTGGAAGGCGAGATTTTTTTTCAAAAAATAAATTATTACATAGAAATAAATAATAAAAATAAAAAACACAGTTATGAAAAATGAAAATATAAAAAAATGAAGAATGAAATAGTGTAAGAGATCATTATTATTTGTGTAAAACCCTATTATATATATGTGGTATTAATTATCACGACTAATTGTTCTTACTTGCATAATACGTGAATCTCTCGACATCCATTTAATACAACACCATGAGAGTATAACATCATCAATGATGAAGGAGTACGTAGGATACCTTACAAATCATTAAGAAGTTAAGATAAACATAACATACGTATCATTATAGAGGTCTCAGTACAAAATGTGAACATAAAAATCGCTAAATTCTATAAAACTAATCTCATATTCTTTTTTTTTTTTTTTTGAAAAGCACATATATTAATAAAACTAAAGAAAAATGTAATACAAAAGTTCTACACAAAGTAGAACAGAGATCTCCCATAAACAAAATTGTCTAACTCCAAAAAGATATACACTAACAGCTCACTAGCTAACTTCCCAAAATATAAAGTCATGAGTCAATACACCAAGATACAAAAGTACAACTTGGCCTACAACCATTCCTATACATCCACCAATGCCAGGAAGTAATTTTAATTCGATAAAGAAAATCAAAATGCAACACCGTTTTGTCTTTAAAAATAATTTCATTCTTGATGGTCCAAATAACCCAAATTGTTGCATGCCAAAAAATATCCCTCCATTTTCTTTTTGCTTTACCTAAAAACATGCTCCTGAGGAGGAAAAACATTTGATCCAAAGAGGACGAAAGTACCAAGCGGATCCCTGACCAAATAAAAATATTATACCAAATATTTCTGAAAAATTCACATTCTAAAAATAAGTATTGTGATGATTCCAAAATATTAGAACAAAATAGACACAATTATTGTAGATCAGAAAAAGCCATTTCTCGAACAATCAATTGATCTATCGTGACTCTAATCTCATATTCGTTCCTTTACGAGCAATGCTTACTCTAAGACTAAAAACTAAATTAATGAGACAATGTCCATCGAGTGCCGTAATCATATTTTACATGTTTAAGAATATTTATATATAGATATATAATAAGGATTGAAGAGTATATATATGATACATATGAATTAAAAAAAATTATAGGGTACACATATAATAATACAAGTATAAATTAGTCGAGTAAAGTCAAATATTAAGTTTAGATTTGACTAGCAAAAAAATTAGGGTTATATAAGTTTGTGTCATTAACTAAAAGCTCGTGTTTGACTTGTTAACAAATACAATTTGAATTTAGCTTGTTCAGTTCATAACTAGACGAATATATAAATTATATTTAAAATTTTGATAAATAAATACTTTTAAATATGTAAATTATATTTTTAAAATTTTAAATAATTTATAGGTTAGATTAAAATTATACTTTTAATTTTTTTATTTTTGTTAAGTCTTCAAATTTTAAAATAAAGAAATTTAATTTTCATATTTTTCAAAATGAAAAATTTTAATCCTACCTTTAATTCAATATTCATTAATCATTAATATTCAGTGACATGATAGTGTGTATATATATATATATATATATATATTAAAAGAAAAAAAATTTAAAAGATCATTGTTAGTGTTTATTTTAACGAGTGATTAATATTTGTTTTATTAATAAATCTTATTTATAATTTTTAAATTTTTTTTATCTTTAAATGTCATGTCAAAAAATATCATGTTATTTAAATGTGTAAACACATTAAAATTTAACTATTAACTGATGTCAATTTGAATGAAAAAACAAAATTTCATATTTTTAGAATTCAGAGAAGTAGATGTCTCCATTTTAAAATAGGAATATCAAAATTGTAGATTGAATAAAATAAAGGAACTAAAAATATAATTTACCCTAATTAATATTATAGTACAATATTATTTTTATTTATTGATAATTTAAATTGATAATATTAAAATAAAATTTAATTCATAAAAAATACAATAAATAAAATTTGAATTATATAAGAAGTTAAAAAAATTCTTAAAAACTCTCTCATTAAAAAAATTCTTAAAAAATATTATTACACAATATAGTTATTCGTATTTAATATATTAAGATTGATTATATAATTTTCTCTCAAATTTTTTCTAACTTTATCAATTTAAGTATTTAACAAACATGCTAATACTAGATAATAATTAAAAATATAAAAATATCTGTTTAACATACAATACAAAAAATTGAAGCATTCTATAATTTTTTTTTGTCTGAAGTATATTGTAAACTTTTTTTTTTAAAATAAAATTTTAGACTATTATATTTTCATAATTTAATAAATAAAAATTACTTAATTATATTTTTAATCTCTAAAATATTATAATTAATCCTAAAAATTAACTTAAAAATAAATTTATTTATTTAATTAATAGTTTAAAATTAAATTTTATTATTGTTATTATAATCTTTTATGAATTAAAAATAATGAAATAAACAAGTTTCATAAAATAAAATATTTAACTAATCAAACTTAAATAGTTCATTGACTTAAATATATCTTTGGTCTATCAAGTATAGCAGTTACGCAGTATTAGTCTCTCAAATTTTAATTGAATAATTTTAATCTTTTAAGTATTGAAGTTGTACAGTTTTGATTCTTCAATTTTTAATTTAATAATTTTAGTTTACAAAGCATTATAATTATGTATATTAATCTTTTAAATATCACAATTATACAATTTTTTACTTATTTAAGTTACATATATTAATAATTTTAATAATTATATATATAATTTAATAAATAAATAAATATTATAATATATGTAACTTAAATAAGTAAAAAAAATTATATAATTAGAATACTTAAATAATTGAAGTTATACAATTACAATGTTTAAAGAATTAAAATTATTTAATTAAATTTTAAAAAATTAAAATTATACAAGAGAAATAAAAGTGCATCTAAATCTAGCTCATATAATATATGTCATTTCATTTACATCATTAAGGAGCAGGGAGGGCTGGTGTGACGTTCTCACCACTTCAATGAGTAATCATTATAATATCACATCCACTATAATAAATTTATTGTACCAATTATTTTCTTGTAAACTTAAGGTTCAATGTTACCAACTTAAAAGCATCATTAGTGTCGAGGGTTAAGTAACTAAAGATGGATTTTTTATTTATTTATTTATTTTTACTTTTTTCTAGAAAAACTAAAGTAAAACTTACGAGTACATTAACAAATGAGTTAATCACTTATACACTAACAGTATATAATTAATTAACTCTTAATAAATTGTTAAAAGTATGAAGTTGCAGGTGATAAAAAAAAAAATTTTAATACGCAACTAAGTGTTTTTAATTTTTATCATTTAAAATAAATACTACAAGAAATGTTACTTTTAGTGACATATAAAAAGTGTCACTATAGATAAAAAATTATGTAGGTATAAACTTATTTGACATATACCCACACACAATTTTTGTGTTGATTTTGAATGAAATTTAATAACATATATTGTGAGTCACTATAACTTATAAACCTATATATATATATATATATATATATATATGAGAGGGATTATAATTAAACCGGTGTAACTTTTCCAAGTGTTATACCACTCAATAACTTTTATATTAAATGTGAATTTTGTAAATCCAACCGTTAGATTGAAAGTTCATATCACTTTATATGAGTATATCAAATTTTGTTAAAATTGAACAACAATTTTAAGGTGATCAAAGTGTTTATATTTTAGTATATTTTGAAATGAATATATTACGTTAATTTTGTTTTATAAAAATAAAGTATCAAATCATCTTGGATTAATATAAAATTTTGTATATATGATCTAAGAGATATGAACTTTCAATTTAACGGTTGGATTTACAAAATTCACATTTAATATAAAGTTTAGGGTTACTTAATAAAAGTTACACTAGCATCATTTGAACCCTCATCTATGTATATATATATATATATATATATATATATA